AACAAATTTCTAAATAAACAGCATTCAAAAATAGTTATTAATTTTAACTTATTTTCAATACTAATTTTTTTAAACTTTGGCGTCCATTTCAGTAAGGTTTCACCAGTCCGATTTAGACTGTTTTCTTTTGGAATTTTGAATGTTGACATTTTATCGCATTTCTACTAATTTTCCGTTCCCTTATATTTTGAGCACACCTAAATGAGAATGACATTTCGTACTGTTCTCTCTTCTGCTAGTGTTACTACTAAAAAAGTACTGGAACACAACTAATATTATCCTATAAGTTACCTCAGTGAAATTTCCCAAGGGCAGCATGTGTGAACTCAAAATCCACTTTACTTGATAAATAAATTGAGTTCATGAACTCATAAAATAAATAAATAAATACTTGACTCTGTATGCGACCACATCAGAATCCGTGACAATCTCTATGAAAATAGTTAAAAATTTTACAAATTATAGTTGTGGTCGGTCCATGTTTTCGAGTAGATCCAATATAACGATATCTTTAAATATCCCGTATATTGATGTTAAAAGATACATTTTTCAGCAACATTTCAGTGTATAAGAATAGCTCGTAATGAGAAAGCAGAATATTGTCGATATGGGTTCGCGTTTAAATGTAGTACCATAGGAACGGACGTTCCCTCCGAAATATATATTTTTCAGTGATTTTCATAGTTTTGCGCCCGCCCAACTCCAAAATGGTTTTGAAATGCATTTCTATGTACGTCCGCGAGCCCCATATAAAGGCACCTAGTAATATACGGAATTTTGATAATTTTAAAATGATTTTCTTTGACAGCGTTAGCTAAAATTCGACGTACTTAGTCGAAGTTTTTCACCACACAAGTAAAAAACACAAGTACATATTTATATGAATGTCACCCAAACACGTCGAACGTACGAAACTTCAAAGTTGAAAAATTTCAACATTGGCAATTGAACAATTTATTTTTTGTATGTTGTATGTTGTTGGAAAATATAGCAATTGGGAGAACAACAACGACAAGTGGTACCAGATATCAAATACAGCTCAGAAATAGGTTTTCGGATCGGTTCAGATTTGGGTATATCTCACATATATATCTTTACACGATGTTACGGTTATTGTGCATTAAATGATTAATATCAGACCAAATGGAGGGGATTTTGACACATTCAACCGAATTTTTCGATTTGGTGAAACTACACTGAAAGAAAAAGCTTCATACCATAAATGAAATCCTATCCTAAATGATTTTGAACCACCATTTTCGGCTCGGCCCGGCCGACCTTTTACTTCTTAATATCTACACCACACTGTGGTAGTGGGTAATTTGTCGTTGTGCATTTGTTTGTAATAGATAGAAATACGCGAGATAAACCCTACTTTTTTGGATGATCTTTATAAAATCACGTTCCGAGTTGGTTTATGCATGTCAGCAAGTCTGACCGTCTGCCCATGTATTTTTATGAACAAAATGCAGATGGCCTTTATTGTCTAATTGATATGAATTTTTCTACGTATCATTTGTTTGATCTAAGAACGAACTCCATAACGTAATGTTTCATCCATTTCGTGAAACTGCTTCATTAAATTGGAGCACAAATTTAAATATAACAATTATCACAACTTTCCCACTAATTGTAAATACTTTGGTTGCATATTTGTTTGTATAAGACAGCGCTTCTATATTCACATTTTTACTGAATTTTGTAAAAATAAGTAGTTTCGTAACATTAATAAAACCAATAATCATTGAATTTAAAAGCAACGTATTTTTTCATTGCATGAACAAAAAAATTTATTTATGCATCAATGAAAAAAAATCAACGAAACCGGTTCATTGATACAACGAAGCATTTTTCTTTCAGTGTAGGTTCCGATATATGTTTGTAAACCTCCCATAATGGAAAGCATAAACTTTTAGGTGCAGGTACATGTTTTCCTATAGCCCCCATATAACGGTACCTTCGGATATTCTGTGTTTTTGAAGATTTAAGACACATTTTCTGTTTGATATGTGTAAAATTTGACAATTGTTGTTCATAATGGGTTCTACAGCTGGTGGCAGAGCATTGTCCACCCACTGATATTCTGTATTTTGATGATTCTAGCCAGATTTTTCCACGGAATTATTTTAAATGTGGTACTTAAGACTCTCAATAGATAACAATCCTTGCAGTATAAATTTGTCTCTGTAGGTTCATATTTTGTTATGGGCCGATCTTAGATATACTTTTATTCATCTATTCAAATACTATTATTTAAAAATGTGGTCTTTACCTAATAGTATGTAAAGTTAAGCCCGGCCGAACTTCTTAATATTATCCTTCTCGAAGCCATATCATGCACTCTATAGCAGTGTTGCTTTGTACAAGAGAATCAAATGCCTCCTTCAAATTTGGTGGAAATCGATTCAGAGTTGGATATAGCTCACATAGATTAGTGAGATCGCTCGTAATTCAAATTATAAATGCTCTAAAGCCATAATACACATTTAAACCAGTAAGGAAAGGTCAAAAGTCAGGTGGGCCGACTGTATGATACCCTTACCACTATGTGTAATTAGTAGAACTCCCTTAACAATAAAATGTATGTGAAATAGATCATACCAACTATGAACCTTATTTGAATACGTATCATGACTACTTACCATTTGGAAGCCATATCCAACTCTGAATTGATTTTCAACAAATTTGACTGAGGCTTTTGTACCCCTAGTACCAAATAACATTGCTGTATGGTGCATGATATGACTTCGATAAGAATTTTATTAAAAAATATTTGTTTGAGCAATAGATATACCGGACCGAGTTCACCAATTGGAAAAAATCGATGTAATATGAAACAAGTAAGCAAAGGCTACAGTCGAGCGGGGCCGACCGTTGAATACCCTACAACACTATAATAAACCATACAGTTTATACTCGAATGAACTCCACAAGATATTGTGACAAATAATAAAAGAAAACCATCATGTTTCGTTCTCTAAGTTTCGGATAATAGCAACTTAAACGAATTTACTCATTTCCAATTTATTGGTAGATGTCGCTGGAATGGAGATTTTCGTATTTATCTACAAAAGTTGGCAAACTATTTCACACATTGAATATTTTACGATGGCCATCCGAAACTGCTTGGCTTTTGCAATGTGCGGTAACCCCCATTCAAACGTGCGTGAGGATCGGGCGATAATTACGACCCGCTGAAAATTTGGCAGTTTTTTGGTCCATTTCAACCCCTAAATATATAGCGATCATCTATAAAAAGAGTAGGCATCTATTCTGACCCTCATCTTATCCCCATGCAAAATTTCGTAAGGATCGGGCCATAAATGCGATCTGTATATGATATCCTGATATCCTATCTACTTAGTTTTGTTAGATGTAGAAATATTATCAAATGTTTAATTCAAAATGAAAATATGCCAAAAATATGATAAAATTGAAAAAATATGAGAAAACATTACAAAATCAATATTTTCATCTTTTGAGAGATATTTTTATGCGATTTTTTAGACGTTTTTTCTTTCTTGCCAAGAGGCCATTCTGAATTAATGAGAACTGTCGAAATCAGTTCAGCCGTTCTCGACATATAAGAGATCTTTCAAGCATATCTCCTTTGATAGACATATATATCGCACATATTTTGCTATATCCGATTTGTTAGATGTTAACATCAATGTAAAGGTCAGAAGTAACCTTGTCATGACCTTGTGATTTCGCCGGGATTTAAAATATTCGCGGTTTAATGAAAATTTTTGAATTTTTTCAACACAAAAGACATGGTCTATTTTAACCACTAAATATTATCCGATGACCACCCAAATTGGTAGGCTTCTTCCCCGCCCTAAACTCTAGCTACATGCGAAATTCCACGTCGATTGGTCTATAAATCCGACCTGTATAGCTACTGCAAAATCCGACATTTTTTTAGTATTTGGTCCATTTTAACCCCTAAACATTTGGGTATCATCTCCAAAAGAAATAGGCTTCTATTCTGACCCTAACCCCACCTTCGTGCAAAATTTCGTAAGGATCGGGCCATAATTGCGACCTGTAGAGTGATTACAAATTAACATGGAAGATCCATATATACTTTCCTATATGGGAAACCAATATTTCGAGGTGTTACATAATTTTTGGCCCAATCAAACTTATAATACCCCCAACACATAGTGTTGTAGGGTATAAAAATCTATCCAATTTGGGCTGATATTACATAAATAGTGGACAATAGTGGTGAACTCGGATGAAGATCTGATCTGAACCAATCGATATAATTGGGCAGAGGTATTTTCGAGTTGTATCTGGTGTCCGGTATCAAATATCATTGTTTTGGAGTGTATATTACGCATGTGAGGGACTTTAACACCAAATCGGATGAAACATATAGATGGGAGCTATAGCTATATGGAAGCTGCAGCTATATCTGAACCGATTCACCAAATTTACTGAATTCGGTCGGATGTGCTAAAATTCATTTGGACTGGTATTGGCATTTGCTGCACAATTAACATGAAATCGGTTGAAGATATATATGGGAGCTATATCTAAATTTGAACCATTTCTCACCTAATTTCATCTTAATCGGATAATAAATTCGACCTGCATTTTTTTCACAAGAATAGATGGACGGACGGACAGACGCTCTGACATGCATAAATCGACTCAGAAAGTGATTCTATAAGTTCCGCAAAAGTAACTATATGTTTATCTCGCTTCCTTGTCCATGTTGCTATGATCTACTTCACATAGACTCTGAATATAAACGTTAATTTGTAGCGGGTTGCTTCAATAAATGCGTATAGTGGTGTAGGGTATTATAATTGAGCCCGCTCGACATTTGGTCTTGCTTATAGGTTAATGCTTGACTAATGCTTTATAGTTTAAAAATTGAAAAATTCATCACGCCATATCTCTAAATTCTACGGTTGGGGGTTTGACTTAGATCCATTTGAAAATTTAAAGGAGTCATAGAGAAGTCTAGAAAAACACATAATTTATGTATATATATATATATATCTGTATTTATATTTACATTTTATAAAGAGACAATTATTGTAATCGCTAATTTAAACCGCTATCCGGAATAATTGCTCTTCGCTCGAGGCCGTCCATTCTGTTATTATATAAAATACATTTTTCATTAATGTTCATAATTTGTTTGCATAAAAATAGCTTACCTTTGAATCAAATCTATTTTATTAGCCTTTAACTGGCCATCCAAAGAGCCAAGTCTGTAACAAATAAAATCGGTTACAAACATCCATATGTTAATATTATAAATATCTACCTCGAATTAATAGAGTTTATACGATTGTCAAAATCTTGAAATCTGTGAGGAGTAATAAATAAAGTAATAAATTCACTTGAAAATATATTTTTATCTCCCAATAAAATACTTACCTAGAGTTCAGGACATTAATACGTCCATCTCCTCCATTGATTCTGTTGACATATTTATGTAAATGAAATTAGAAAATCATTAGAAACAGTTTTTTACAGGCTACAGACTAAAAATACCACACAGACTATTTTCCTTTCAAATAAGTAGTAAAGGCTTAAAAAGAATGATGATAGTATAAAAGTATTCAGAACATACGTATATCTTGCATTAAAAATATAAACACTTTCTTACGTGGTATACAGGGTGAGATAAACCAACTTGAGCAAAGTCAAATGCCATAATTTTTACATTTTTTAAAATGTTATTAAATGAAAGCAAAAAATGTCGGAAATAGCATCAAATTTTAGAATAAATTTTGATTTGTTGGAATTAGTCACCTTTGGCACGAATTATGGCCTTCAAACGGCCAATGAAACCGTCACACGCTGCCCGAATGTTGCTCTGCGGTATTTTGGCCCATTCCCGGCGAAGCGCTTGCTTGAGGTGATCGACACTTTGAGTGCGATGGTGCTGAGGTCCAAAGTCTGCGGCCAAAATGTTTGCTTTCCCAAGGCTTTAATACACCCTCAATGATATTTTCGCGATAATATTCGGCATTTATTCTGATGCCACGTACGAGCGATTAATATGAACGGATAGCGACCATTGGCTGTTATGGGTGCTCACACCATTACAATGGCCGGCGCTTGAGTTCTGGTGGCCAACCAAAGGTGCACATTTTCAGCTGACCTCTGTGGCAAGTAAACACGATCATTTTGTTTATTTACAAATTGCTGGACGACGAATGTTTTATCATCGGAGAAAACCAAATTCTGCAGTTCACCACTTTCGGCCAAGCGAAGCAACTCTTTAGCTCTATTGAGTCCATTTTCTTTCTGTTGCGGTGTAAGTTCTTGTACTTTTTATACCCTCCACCATAATATAGAAAGTATATTAAGTTTGCCATTCCATTCGTAACACCTCGAAATATACATTTTATACCCCACAAAGTATATATATTTTTGATCAGCATAAAATTCTATGTAGATTTAGCGATGTCCGTCCATCTGTGGAAATCAATCTAGCTTCCGAACGAATTGAAGTAAATTGATAAAATTTTACTCGATTGTATGTTATGTCTGCAGGACTTTTGGAACTGAAAATGGTCCATGTAGGTCCACGTTTGGATATAGCCTCCATATAACGGTACCTCCCGATATTCGGTATTTTGATGATTTTAACTACATTGTTACCGATTTTTTAAGTTTGGCATTTGAATATTGTAATGGCTTATGGCAAATGTTACATATGCAGGTCCATGTCGTCGTATAGACCCTAATATAACAACTAAAGCATTATTTTTAAGATTTTAACAGAATTTTTGGGAATTGCGAAATTTGTTCCAAGTGGTGGGGTGTATTCAAACTTCGGCCTGGTCGAACTTAAAGCTTTTTTACTTGTTAAACTTTCAATAGCTTTATCCCGAGTTCATTTTTCAATATTTACCGAATGGAATGTTGTGACATGTTCAGCTCACGAGCCATTTTTCGGCCACTGTGACGCGGGCTTGGATCAAGTCGCTTCTTTACTTTTCGAACCATTTCTGCTGATGTTGCTGTTTTCTTCCGTTCACTTCCTTGACGTTGGGCTACGCTACCAGTATCACGGTAACGAGCGATGGTACCAGACACAAAAGATTTATTCACATTTAAACGCTGGAGTGATCTAACAATAGTCACTTGTGGGTTTCCAGCCAAATATAAAGAAATCACACTATCACCCTTGAATTCCATCAATAATAACTTTTTTGCTGTCACTGGAATAATTTTAACAGCTATCGGACGTGTGACTTAGAAATGACAGCAGTCTGAAGTTAGTTGCAGTTTTTTCATCTCACCTTGCATAAGAATTGGGCACATTTTTTTAAATAAAATTTTAAAAATAGAGCAGAGGCTGGTAGTTTGTATGTGACACTGAAAATCGGTCATATGTCTATGCAATTATTTACCTTCCCGTAAGCGAATTTAGATTTCCCTCTATTGTAGCTACCCTGTAAAAATGAATTTTGATTATTTAATTAATGATTTACATCTATGAAATACCTTTGATTTAACGCAGTCAAACTTTCATCCAATTTTGTCGTTTTATTTAATAGTTCAGTAAGTTTTTCAAATAATAATTTCACCACAAATACATGATCCTCGTTGTCGGTTAAATCCTAAAGAAAATACAATACAAACGTTAGCAGATTAAAAGCTGTATTCAAAAATATTCAAATTATATATGTACATAGTTGTTCTTTTGAAAATCTACGCAATTTGAAAATTGCAGTAAAAATATAAGAAAGCACGCTAGAATTATTTTCATTTTATTTCACTTCAGAGGCAAGACTTAAACTGACACTGGTAGTACAATGGTTTCAAATCAATCGTTATCTCTTGTATGAAGGGGACTTTTTTTAAGTTTCCCATCGCTATCGTGAAGCTCATGCATCATTTACTGATTGATAATTTTAATTGTTAATTAAATCAGTGCTTTTGGGTTCTGTTGATTGTTTGTTGGCCCATTAATCTAAAAATTTAATATATATTGGTGATCTAATAAATACTTTTGTTTTTTGTTGTTGCTTTATTAATGGGAGCAACACCTTAAAGGGTACAAGAAGTGTCGAGTAATAAAGCTGATAAGTTCGGCCGGTCCGAATTTCTAATACCCTCCACCATTTTGAAGGAACCTGAAACCCTTATTTTTAAAATCATCAAAACATGTGGCTATCATTAAAGCACTCCAGCACTTCAATGTGAATAAATCTTTTGTGTCTCGTACCATCGCTCCTTACAGTGATATTGGAAGAAAACAGCAACATCAGCAAAAATGGTTCGAAAAGTTAAGAAGCGACTAGATCGAAACCCGCGTCGCGGTGGCCGAAAATGGCTCGTGAGCTGAACATATCGCAATATTCCATTCGGCAAATATTGAAAAATGAGCTCGGGATAAATCCATTATAATTCCAAAAAGTGCAAAAACTTACACCGCAACAGAACGAAAATAGACTCAAAAGAGCTAAAGTGTTGCTTTGCTTGGCCGAAAGTGGTGAACTGCCGAATTTGGTTTTCTCCGATAACAACACATTCGATGTTCAGCAGTTTGTAAACAAACAAAATAATCGTGTTTACTTGCCAAAGAGGTCAGCTGAAAATGTGCACCTTCGGTTGGCCACCAGAACTCAAGCGCCGGCCATGTGATGGTGTGAGCCGTCATAACAGCCGATGGCCGCTCTCCGCTCGTATTAATCAATTGTGGAATCAGAATAAAAGCCGAATATTATCGCGAAAATATTCTGGAGGGTGTATTAAAGTCTTGGGCACGCAAACATTTCAACAGGACTCCATTCCAATAGGACTCAGCACCATCGCACTCAGCACTCGCCACACAATAAAGGTTACAAAATGAGGTTCCTCGCTTAATTTCCAAAGCACAATGGCCACCAAAATCTCCGGAAACCAATCTGTTGGACTATTGTGCTGGAGTATTTTGGAAAGTAAGGTTGACACTAAAAAATACCAAGATGTCGATCGCCTCAAGCAAGCTCTTCGCCGGAAATGGACCAAAATACCGCAACATTCGGGCAGCGTGTGACGGTTTCATTGGCCATTTGAAGGCCATAATTCGTGCCAAAGGTGACCACTTCGAATTAATCTAAACTTATTCTAAAATTTGATGCTGTTTCCTACATTTTTTGCTTTCATTCAATAAAATTTAAAAAAAAATGTAAAAATAAAGGATTTTGACATTTTTGCAGTGACCCTAATACCAAATTTCACATTTCAAGCAATATCCATTCACCGCAAGCCAATTTGTACCAAATTTAGTATGAGTGTTTAAAATTTTTATATTTACTACAAATTTCCATAACCACATCGTCATATCAACCCAAATTCCCAAATTTAATTCTTATTTGAAAATTTTAGCTTAATTCGTTCACATAATACCAAATCCTACCACACATACTTCAAATGCCTAAAAAAACAGTAAAGAAAGTCTTAAAGTCGGGCGGGGCCGACTTTATGATACCCTACACCACTTTGCTAATTTTGTAGAGCTCCACATAACAATTAAAAGATTTTATGGGAGAATTTAATCATACACGCTATGAATATAATTGTAATTTAAAGTTTAAAGGACTAAATATGCCGAAGCATTTGTATCTTTTAAATTCGGACTTGTATTGCCCATTTGGTGCAAAATTAGTTTGAAATCAGATAAAAATATATATGGGAGCTATATCCAAATCTGAACCGATCTCGATAAAATTTGGCAAAGATATTTCTGAGCTGTATTTGAAATATTGTTACGGAGTGCATATTACGGCTGTGGGTAACAAATACAACAAATCGGATGAACAGTATATATGAGAGCTATAGCTATATCTGAACCGATCTTCACCAAATTTGGCATACTAGCTTCGAAACTCAATTCGGTAGCATGTACCAAATTCCATCCTATTTGGGAGGACGAAAATAACAAATCGGATGAACAATATATATGGGAGCTATAGCTATATCTGAACCGATTTCGAATAGAATATTCAAAAATAAGGCTTTTCTCTCTTTCGAGACTGTATGAACCGTTTCGCGGTTCATCAGTCATATTTGGTGTGGATGATGACTTCCAAGGACCGTACTGCTAAATTGCTCTGAACATTGAGACAGCAGTTTCTAGTTGGCTACACACCAAAGTTCGCGGTTCAAACCCCAGTCAGACTCAGTTGATTTTTACACCCTCCACGATGCATCTGTCTGTCTATTCGATCTTTCGAACATTTTGCACACGTTTTCGTATAGCCCGCATTTAACAGAATCTCCCGATACTCATGCTATTTAAATCACATTTTCTAACAGAGTTGTTAAAAATTCGGTACTTAGAGTTTAGAACTGGTTATACCTCCTGTAGCCAAACATTGTATATGTAGCTCCATGTTTTCTTATATCCCCAATATAACCGTACCTCTAGATATTCGGTATTTTAGGAATTTAAACCACATTTTAAAACGAAATTGGATATAATTCGGTTCACAGGTTCACAGGTTCACAGGCAAACATTGTCAATATAGGCTTACGTTTTCCTGTAGCCCTTACGTAATGGTACTTTCAGATATTCGGTACTTTGACTACTTACATATAACACATTTTCTAACACAGTTGTTAAAAAATCTGAACTTAACGTTTTTAACGGGTTCTACCTGTGGCAGAACGTTGTCTATATAGGTTCACTTTTTCGTATAGCCCCCATATAACTGTACCTCCCCATATAATATTAAATATTCGTCCTTATAGTTTGGAACAGGTTCTACGTTCTATGGCAGAATATTATCTATATAAGTTTATGTATTCTTATAGCCCTACATAAATGCACCTCCGCCCTGAAATTTGGTACCTAGGGTTCGTAATGGGTTCGTGGTAGATCATTGTCTGTATTTTACTATAGCCCCCATGTTTCACTACTTTCCTATATTTGGTTTTTTGATGATTTTAACCACATTTTTGAGGGGGAATCCTTTAAAATTCGGTAGGTAGAGTTTGTAATGGATTCTGTCTTCTGCGACAGAAGACTTCTGCAATAGGCTCAGTATTCCTTTTATCACTTATAAGGTGGTCCCTCCGAATATTTGGTATTTTGGCGATTTTAACCACATTTTTAGCATATATTTTTTATATGAGTTATTTTAATCTAACTTCTGGGGAGGATATCCCAGACAAAACGCAAGGGAACTGATGAGGATTGGAAACCTAGTTAATCCCTTCTTACCCCCTAGGAAACATTATCATCTTTCTCCACTAATAACTAAACTTTTTTTTTTATAAAAACAAATCTAATGGCATTAAGCCCAATTATTTTGCATATCCCGAACAAGCATGTCAACACAGATCGTTTTAATCCCTCTACCTTGAAAAAGAGGGTATATCAACTTCGTCATTCCGTTTGTAACATCCCTAAATATTTGTCGTAGACATAAAATTTTAAGTCATTTTAACGATATCCGTCTGTCTGTCTGTTAAAATCATGATACAGCCCACATTATTTGTCGTAGAGCTTCAAAAAATTGGCAGAACAATTTGTACTGTGTCTAGGTTGGTTGGTATTGAAAATGAGATATCCACGTTTTGGTATAGCCGTCATAACGGTATTCCCGATATTCGGTATTTTGATGATTTTTGCCACATTTTTTCTAGCTCCGGTGGCGAAATATTGTAGGTATAGGTCCACGTTTTTGTATAGCTCCTTTATAACGGTAACTCCCGATATTCGTTATTTTTAAGATTTGTATCACAGCTTTCCACGGATTTATCTAAAAATTGGTATTTGTAGTTCATAATTGGTTTTAACTCCGGCGGTATAATATTTAGGTCCACGTTTTCCTATAGGGCGCATATAACGATACCCACCGATATTCGGTATTTTGATAATCCTAGTTTACCCAACAAATTGTTTCAAATTTGGTATTTAAGAAGATTTAGTAGATGACAATCCTTGAAGTATAAAATTGTCTACAAAGTTTTTTGGTATGGCCCCATACAACGGCCTCACCCACTTTATGGGTTTTTGTAAAGGTTAACAGCACTATCCAAACGATCTCACTAGCATTTGTAGTCCACCATACTATGGAGGGTATATTAACTTTGTTATTCCGTTTGTAACTCCTCGAAATACTCATGTCAGACCCAACAAAGTATATATATTCTTGATCAGCGTAAAATTCTAAGTCGATTTAGCGATGTCCGTCTGTCTGTCTGTCTGTTGTAATCACGCTCATGATCATCATCCTCATTCGAACGTATTGAGATAGAAGGCACACGTGTTTATTTTTCCACTAGGCAGGTTAAGTTCGTAAATGGGTCATGTAGGTCCACGTCTTCATATAGGGTTGGGTATTGGGTATTTTGATGATTTTAGCGACATTATTCACGGGAATTGTTTCAAATTTGGTATTTGAAGTTCGAAATGGATACTACAGCCTAAGACAGAAAATTGTCTGTGCAGGTCCACGTCTTCGTATAGCCCCCATATAACGGTACCTCAAAATATTCGGTATTTCGATGATTTTTACGTTATTATTCACCGGAATTGTTTCAAATTACGTATTATGAGTTCGTAATGGGAACTACAGTATATGACAGAAAATTGTCTATGCAGGTCTAGGTCTTCGTATAGACCGAATACCGAATATAGGGAGGTACTGGTATGTAGCAGTACCTCCCTATATTCGGTATTTTGAATTTAGGTACAATACCCACCGAAATTGTTTGAGATGTCATATTTGAAGTTCGTAATGCATGCTACAGCCTATGACAGAAAATTGTCTATGCTGGTCCAGGACTTGGTACAGCTACGATATAACGGTACCTCCCTCCTCACCGTTTATTTTCATTTGAATATGGTAATGGCTTATGATAAACAATGCCTATGTAGATCTCCATTATAACGGCTATATTCGGTATTTTTAAAATTTTACCAGCATTTTTAAAGAATTTTATTATTTCCAAATTCGTTCCAAATGGTGGAGGGTATTCGAAGTTCGGCCAGACCGAACTTACTGCTTTTTAACTTGTTTTTCTTGTTAATTCATCAAATTTAAACCGATGCTATCGACGTTGCGGCATTTTTAAGACTTAAAGTATAATATTTGTATGAATTATTTAACTTTTTCTCTTTCGAGATGAGCTTAATGATCTAAAATTTTATATGAGTTTCGAAACTACATCCATTTATGCACAAAAAAGACGAAAAGTATATTTGAAGAAATTTGTTGGCAGGACAAGATTATCTATAAACAGATTTCCCACCAGATTTTGCTAAAGCCATGTCATTACGGAAATGCGGTATAAGAAAATCAACCTGAGATATCAAGCTATTGCCTAACGCTTTATAAGGTGGCAATCGAAAAATAAATCAAATTATAACTCAAAATTCTACTTTTATTGTTTTAATATATTCAGTTAGGGATTTATTGCTATTAAATGTATTTCTGTATTTTTATTCACATATTATTAAGACACAAAATCTGCAATCGCTAATTTAAGCGCTATCCGGAATGATCAAACTTCTCAGATATTCGTCCATTCTGTAATTGTTTAAATTACAGTTCTAATAAAAAACAAGTAAGCAAAGGCTACAGTCGAGCGGGGCCGACCGTTGAATACCCTACAACACTATAATAAACGATACAGTTTATATAGGCGAGAAACTCGAAAGAATTCGTTCTCTAATTTTCAAATAATAGCAACTTAAACTAATTTGCTCATTTCCAATTTATTGGTAGATTTTGCACGTAAATGGTCTTCCTAGATCTGGAACCAATATTTCCCAAAGACCTACAATCTCTCAGAAGTGGCAAAAGATTAACATTTATTATTGGTTTTTGACTGAAACGCATCTATATGAGATACAGACATTTGACTATGTTCTTCAACGAAATCAGCGTTAACGAAATAGTCAGAAGTGCGTCTTTCCTGTATTTGTGAATTCTCCAAAAAGTCACTGGAATGGACATTTTCGTATTTTGTCTACAAAAGTTGGCAAACTATTTCACACATTGAATATTTTTGGATGGCCATCCGAAACTGATTGGCTTTTGCAATGTGCGGTAACCCCCATTCAAATGTGCGTGAGGATCGGGCGATAATTACGACCTCCTGACAATTTTGCAGTTTTTTGGTCCATTTCAACCCCTAAATATATGGCGATCATCTCCAAAAAGAGTAGGCTTCTTTTCTGACCCTCATCTTACCCCATGCAAAATTACGTAAGGATCGGGTCATAAATGCGATCTGTATATGATATCCTGATATCCTAACTACTTAGTTTTGTTAGCTGTAGAAATATTACCAAATGTTTAATTCAAAATGAAAATATGCCAAAAATATGACAAAATTGAAAAAATATGAGAAAATTTTACAAAATCAATATTTTCATCTTTAGACAGATATTTTTATGCGATTTCTTTAGCCGTTTTTTCTTTCCTGCCAAGAGGCCATTCTGAATTAAGGAGAACTGTCGAAATCAGTTCAGCCGTTCTCGACATATAAGAGATTTTTCAAGCATTTCTTCTTTGATAAACATGTATATCGCACATATTTTGCTATATATCCGTTTTGTTGGATGTTAACATCAATGTAAAGATCAGAAGTAACCTTGTGATGGCTTTGTGATTTCGCCGGGATTTAAAATATTCGCGGTTTAATGAAAAACTTTAAATTTTTTCAACACAAAAGATATGGTCTATTTTACCCGCTAAATATTATCCGATGACCACCAAAATTGGTAGGCTTCTTCCCCGCCCTAAACTCTAGCTACATGCGCAATTCCGCGTCGATTGGTCTATAATTGCGACCTGTAGAGCAACTGCAAAATCAGGAATTTTTTCAGTTTTTGGTCCATTTCGACCCCTAAATATTATGCGATCATCTCCAAAAGAAATAGGGTTCTATTCTGACCTTAACCCCACCTACATTCTAAATTTCGTGAAGATCGGGCCATAATTGCGACCTGTAGAGTGATTACAAATTAACATGGACAGACGGACAGACGGACAGACGGACAGACGGACGGACGGACATACATAGCTAGATCAACTCAGCTCGGCGAGCTAGGAAGATCCATATATACTTTCCTATATGGGAAACCAATATTTCGAGGTGTTACATAAATTCTGGCCCAATCAAACTTATAATACCCCCAACACATAGTGTTGTAGGGTATAAAAACATTTAAATTATTTGTAGAAAAAAGTTTACCTCTGATTTATCTGGATCTTATTAGCCTTTATCTGTTCATCCAAAGAGCCAAATCTGCAACAAATAAAATCATTTAAACTTTTTTAAAAACATTCAGACGATAATGTAAAAAACATCTACCTTGAATTAATAGAGTTTATGCGATTTTCAAAATCTTGCATTCTGTGTGAAGTGATGAAATTTGTATTAAAACAAACAATAATATTATTTACTGACAACAGTACTTACCTAGAGCTCAGGGCATTAATAGGAACAAATCTGTAAAAATAAAAATTGTCTGAAAAATGCATATTTTAATATCAACAAATATATACCTCGAATTAATAGAATTAATCCGATATTCTAAATCTTGCATTCTACGGAAAGCCACAAAACTTTTAATTAAAAAAAGAACAAAAATATTATTTACCAAATTCAATGCTTGCCTGGATTTCATGTCATTAATACGATCTCCTCCTTCATTTATTCTGTTGAAATATTTATGTATAGATATGAAAATGACATAGGAACATATATGTTGTATTTTAGATGTAAGCATTGAATATGGGAAGTGGGGATATATTTATAATAAAACATATTATAATAAAACATTAAGATTTTGTAGGATGTGATATGCAGAAATAGACATTTGTAGGTTGTTACCATTTTTGCCGATATTGGATATAACTACACAATTATTTACCTTTCTGTAAACCTATTTAGATTCTCCTCCATTATAGCTACGCTGTAAATAATATTTTTTTTTATTTAATTATCGAACTATATCAATGAAATACCTTCGATTTAACGTAGTCAAACATTCATCCAATATTGTCGTTTTGTTTAAGAGTTCAGTAAGTTTTTCAAATAATAATTTCACCACAAATATATGATCCTCATTGTCGGTTAAATCCTAAAGAAAATACAATATCAACAAATTACAAATTAAAAGTTTGCGCATAAATATAGAAAATAAATACATAGCTCTTCTTCTGAGGATCTACACAATATGAATATTGCAGTAAAAATATAAGTAAGCACGGCAAAATTATTTTCATATTATTTCACTTCAAAAACTAGACGCAAACTGACACTCTTTGAAGAATGATTTCACATCAATCGTTATCTCTTATATAAAGGGGATTTTTTTTAAGTTCTCATACATCATTTATTCGTTTATAATTTTAATTTCAAATTATTGGGGATTAATTATTGGGCCACAATTTGTATGTTGTCATAGGTCATAGGTTATAGAACCAAGCAAAATTTCCAAGTATACTACAACATCGCTTAAAAGTAACATATGCTATATACGTTTTTGAAATTCCACTTGGAACTGAAGATATGGCATCAGAATCGGAGGTACCTCCTAAAAATTTAGATTTTATATGCACATATTCTATTGAAACAAGTTAATAAGTATCTGTCGGTTTTACCGACAGATATATACTCTTATCGACTGTTCAATTATTTAATTATATTTTGACTTTTGTCCGATTCATATCTGACCTAAGTCTGATAAAAATGTGCCAGATTTGGGCTATATAGACCTTTACATAATCAATCAAATCAATTTTATCAAAATTTACACCTTTTGTGGTGAAGGTACCAGAGGGAGTGAGCCGATGAATTCTATATTCAAAATCTCAGGTTACAAAGTTTTAAAAGAACCATTGACTCCTTTCGTCAATTACATTTGAAAATTGTGACCCAAAAGGGGTTGACCGACATCTATCATCTTCACACTAGATCTTTTGTTAATAAAAATACCGGGATGTGTGAAATTTGAGGGGATGCTTAGAATGCATTTTTAAGCGTTTTGTTCATTCAAAATTTTGACCTTTTTTTGTGTTAGTAGAAACATCGGGATGTACCTAATTTGATCCGATGCTTATTTCCCATTTTATAAAAGTTATAATTATTCAAACTTTTGACACTTCGTGAGGGTGATATTTGATGGAGTGGGCCAGTATTGTTCATTTTTTTTCTTTTCAAATTTTTTTTCTGTGTAAATTTTGACCTTTTGTGAGCAAGGTACCAGAAACTTGACAATAATATTACGATGTACCAAGTGTGAACCGGATAGCCCCTTCGATATTTATCGTGCGCGCCATTCAGGCAGACAGACAGACAGACGACCGGCGGACGGACGTACACCTCTAGATCTACCACAAACATCCTGAAACGTGCAATGTTCAAAATGAACAATTTAAGCATTTACAGACATATTGACACATTGAACCAGGTACTTTCCAAATAGTCGGCCGGACCGAAATTAACTGCTTTTATACTTATTATATTAGGTTATTCAAAACTATATTTAAACTTTTTAGCATAATAGGACACCAACGAATCCTTAGAATCTGAAACTCTTTTGGGGTTTTGGTCCCCAAGCCGAGTACTACCAAATTCACTTGGAATATTGCACAGCGCAGGTTATTGGACTGTGAAATTATATGAAAATTCGCAAAAAAATCGGACGAAGTGCTTAGTATGTTTTGTCGTATCCTTTATACAAGATATACAGTTAATTTGAGACTTAGTGTGATCTACTCTTAGATTTTTTCTCTTTTGAAAAAAGGACCGTAAGGATTTTTTTGTGTTTAACTGTGATACAGTCTGAGACTGAGATACAATCTCCAAATTTGAAATGCGTAACGGAATTTGGAACAAGAGTAAATTTGCCAAATTATATTGAAATCGGCTCAGATTTGGATATAGCTCCCATATATATTTTCGGCCGATTTCATGTATTTGATGTACAAATCACGTTTTGTATCTCTAATTTCAATGAAATTTGGAATGTGTAACGAAATTTAAAACGAATATACACATCATAAACGATGAACAGATTTTCCAAAAAAAAACTAAGTATACATATGCTACATACATTTTTTAAATTCCACTTGGAACTAGAGATATAGCTTCAGAATCGGAGGTACCTCCCAAAAATTTTGATTTTATATGCACATATTTATTGATCGATTAGAGATACAGTCCCCAAATTTGAAAGCGTAACGAAATTTGGAACAACTTTATGCCAAATTATATTGAAATCGGATCCGATTGGATATAGCTCAAATATATATTTTCGACCGAGTTCTTCTATTTGATGCATCAAACCCGATATATATGTTCGATTCCAATGAAATTAGGAATGAGTGACGGGATTCGATTAGAAAATAGATTTACCAAATTATATTGAAATCGGTTCAGGTTTTGATATAGCTGCCATATATATTTTCGACCGATTTCGTTTATTTTATGCACTAAGCACGATATGTACGAAAAAAAAAATAAAAAATAAAAAATAAAAAAAAATGAAATTTAGAATGTATGACGGGATTTTATCAGAAAATACATTTGTCAAATTATATAGAAATCGGTTCAGATTTTAATATAGCTGCCATATATATTTTCGGTCGATTTCACGTATTTCATGCACCAAACACTATAGGTATGTTTAATTCTAATGAAATTCGGCATGAGTGGCTAAATTTTGTACAAAAGTAAATTTGGGAAATTATATTCAAATCGGTTCAGATTTGGATATAGCTCCCATATATATTTTCGGCCGATTTTAAATATTTGATGCACCCAACGCGATATGTATGTCCGATTCCAATGAAATTCGGACAGAGAGACGAAATTTGGTACCAAAAAAACGTTTTCCATCACATTCTCCCGATATAATGTATTTTGAGGATGTTATCCACTTTTTTTTATAGAATTGTTTGAAATTTGTATTGTATGTTCCTCATAACAGAAATGACGCATACCCCTCGAATAATGGAATTTTTGGGATTAACATATTTTATAGGTATAGATTTCGAATTATCCTTATCCATTTTTAAATGAAGGGGAATTTTTCTTGATATCTTTATTGAAAATGTTGACATTTGTTGACGATTTTTGTTTATGTCATATAACGCAATAGTTTCCAAGTTTGTATATGGGGTTCGGGACAAGTATTATTTTTACGGCCTGAAAATTATGGAACATTAAAAGTACGGGTCCACGTTTCCTTATGATGGGTACTATCTGTAGCTAATTGTACGCAGAGTTCCTCGTCTAAGTATGTAATGGATATACTATAGCTATTAAAGTATGGACTTTTTATAATTTTAACCACATTTTAACCAATTTCAAAATAACAGAAATAACTTATACCGCTCGAATTCTATATCTCATTACTTATAATTGTATTTTCAAAAGTGAAACTTTCCGAATGATTTGTGATATTAATTGTTTTACCTTGACTTAGTAGCTTCTTATATTGTTCCGTTTTTTTCATAGAACGTAATATTTGTTTGCGAGACGATAACGTATCTTTTCAACCGAATAGCTTGAATTTTGATGTTTGAAATTCTAAATTGGCAAGTCACGTTGCTAGAATAGCTCCAATTTTTCTACTCCTCTATCCATAATTATGAAGCTTTGATGTTGAAAATTCTTTATTTTGCTTGGTGCATATTCTTAATTTTATTTGGAAACGATGTAAGTTCAGCAAAATTCAGTCAGTCCGTCTGTCTATGTATTTTATCTAAAGAAAGTACAGGTAGCATTTATTTTTTAATCGAGATGAAATTTTGATATCAGAAAGATATCAGATACCGCCAAATTTTATCGAGATCCGTTCAGAGTTAGATATAGCTCTCATATACAGGGTGAGATAAAAAACTGCAACAAAGTCAAACGCCCTAATTTTTACATTTTTTTTTAATTTTATTGAATGAAAGAAAAAAATGTCGAAAATAGCATTCAATTTTAGAATAAGTTTAGATTTGTTCGAATTGGTCACCTTTGGCACGAATTATGGCCTTCAAACGGCCAATGAAACCGTCACACGCTGCCAATAGTCCAGCGTATTGGTATCCGGAGATTTTGTTAGCCATTGTGCGCTGGAAATGAAGCGAGGAACCTCATTTTGTAACCATTCTTGGGTGTTGGTTGGCGTGTGCTGAGTGCGATGGTGCTGAGTCCTGTTGGAATGACCAAGGTCTGCGGCCAAAATGTTTGCTTGCCCTTGGCTTTAATACACTCTCCACAATATTTTCGCGATAATATTCGGCCTTTATTCTGATGCCACGGTCGATTAATACGAGTGGAGAGCGACCATCGGCTGTTATGGCGGCCCACACCATCACCATGGCCGGAGAAAACCAAATTCGGCAGTTTACCACTTTCAGCATCTCTTTAACTCTTTTAAGTCTATTCTGTTGCGGTGTAAGTTCTTGCACTTTTTGGAATTTCAATAGCTTTACCCCGACCCCATTTTTCAAAATTTGCCGAATAGAACATTGCAATATGTTCAGCTCACGAACCATTTTTCGGCCACTGCGACGCGGGTTTCGATCAAGTCGCTTCTTTACTTTCCGAACCATTTCTGCTGATGTTGCTGTTTTCTTCCGTCCACTTCCTTGGCGTTGGGCTACGCTACCACGAGCGATGGTAAGAGACACTAAAGATGTATTCACATTTAAATGCTGGAGTCCTCTAACGATAGCCAATCTGAGTTGCAGTTGCAGTTTTTTCATCTCACCCTGAATGCTCCTGTAATTTTATATTTTAAATTTTATATTTTTATATTTTAAATTATCAGTCAATTAGATGCTATAAAAGCCTACAACTACGCCTATACCAATAAACATAATTGATTTTTTCAAAACGTGCGAAAACGTTTATATGAGGAAAACGTATTATATATAGTCACTACACACTTTACTGTAGTGTATTGTTTATTGTAATAATAATTCACATCCTAGACTGGACGGACACACAAACGTCATTTATGATATTTGAAAATTCAGCTAATTTCACTTTGGTTTCATTTTTTATTTTTAATTTATTTGCCATCTGATATAAGAGCATCAAATCAAGCCGATACAATCTCCTGGGAATGATTGATGACTGATAACCTTTAAGCTCTTTTTAAATGCCTTTTGTTGCTGTTGATATTGAGTGTGTGTGTGTGTGTGTGTGTGTGGCAATAACGAATTCCTCTGTTTGTATAGACAAAATACGTTTTCATCAATATCAAAGAAATAATGTTACAAGTGTTGTCAATGTTACATTTAACTAAGATAAGATGGCGATTTTGGAGGTGAAAATTTCTAACAATGTAAATTCATAGATACATAACAATGTCAATACACAGATACATACTTTCGAGGTCTTACCGCA